TGCGCCTGGTCACATCACCATCCTCCCTCGGCAAAAGTTTATCAGCTTTGCAGGATGCGCTCTTCCCTTCCGGCCTCCGACGCCCACCGGCTACACCACGAACCGAAGAAGAAAAGTCGGAAACACGCAGCAAAGCGGGGAAGAAGCTGGGGTTGGTTATACCGGGTACGTCGAACAGACATCTAGAGAGACGTGACCGAGCTAATGGTGTACAAGAACTGGTCGCAAACATGATGGGGCGAGGCAATGCCAGAAGGGCAGCCAGAAGAGTCTTTGGAACTTTGCAAGATGAACGCATGAACCAGCATCTGGTCCTTTGTGTCATGGACGTGGTGAGTTTTTACATTGGCGCATGTTCTCGGCTTATGATATGTCTACCCAAGGTTCTGGATGTTTTGTTTCCCTCTACGACAGCAACGACGATGACTTAACGACTTTCTACGTACGTTTCTTGGGTGTTTGTCATGCATTATTACTGTACCACCATACGAGATGCTCCATCGATCTGGGGGCTCACTTGGCGTGTCTGTCAATGTGAGTGCAAACAAAAGAAGACCTGTCCGCCCTATGCTTATGACATCTTTAAATTGTACACTGGATCACCGGCTCTCCATTATACACTGACTCCCTGCATCCTTTGATTTTATCCGTTGCATCCTTCCATCTCAGTCCCGCGACGTCGAGGCTGATCTCGATGGGCATTCTAACAGACCTTCAGCACACCCAGCAGCCCTCGTCGCCCATAATCGTCGTATATCGACAAAGATGGAACAACGGGCATTCTATGATCCTATGGTGGACTGGGTCAACGAGGGCGCTGACGGTGACTGGTCGCCCTCGCATCCCAGTGATGCCCAGCGGGAGTCGATCCTGTATCTGTGTCTATTCCTGGTTATAATTCTCATCTTCTGGTGAGTGATCATGTATACATAATGATAGAAGCTGATACATATCTAGGCAAGGCAAGATTGCTTACTGGTGGGACAAGAAGAGATTCAGAGTAATCGCGACCGGAGAAATCAAGGAGAAGAGAGTTTGGCGGACGATACCAGTTCCGATCTTGTGGCCCTTCAAGATCCTGACCGTGCTATACCACGAGGTGAGTATCGCCAACCTCACAGTCTCCAAGTCTGACGACACCAGCTATCACATGCCATCGTGGGGATGTGCACCATATGGTGGAAGCAATGGAGACGTGGGGTGCCGCAGGGGTACACAAAAGGCTACATTCTTTTCATTATGGTTGACAGTAAGCTGCCCGTGCTGATCTTCCGAATGAGTGTTTATCTCACCCATGACCACAGAGTATGAAGGCGGTTTGACCGCTTTCGGGGGCGATATTGAGCCCAACTATACTTTGACTTTACCCGCTGGTTATATGTGAGGATACTCGAATACCTCTTTGACAATATGCTGACGTTGAGCTTGGTAGTGGCAGCTGCTTATTCGGTTGCTGGTTTCTATTTACTGGATGTGAGCATGATCTGACGCCGACATCAGTAACGATAGCTGATATTTCGTGCTAGTCGACGCGAAATGGTAGGTTCTTGAGCCGTTCCACGTCGGGATCTCATCAATGTCGCTCAACAGGTCCAAGTTTGGAGCTCTCAGTCTGATATGTCTGACTGTGCTAGCGGTCATTATCTGCATGCTTGTGCGGGCCAAGTCTGCTATCACACACCATTGGCACCATATGCGTGCTTGGTTTTTTCGGTGGATATTCTGCAACCCAGGTAAAGCAAAATCGGAAGACGAAAAGCACGAGTATGCGAGGGAGACGAGGAACCAAGAAGCAGATTACCGACACGAGCAAGATCCAGAAGGTCCGACTGAGCACGATTTGCACGCCTCACAGGATATGTAGGTACAAAGCTCAGATTTAAGTCTTATGCGGTTGACGAAGCTGTAAAGCATTATAGCATGCTCCGTCTTTGTCGACATACTCCTATGGGCTGCATGGAACTGGGATGATTCAATATATCTCCGGCTTGTCATGCTGTTCATGGGGCTGATGAGCGCTCTATACGCAGTGTGGGATATCGCTCTCGACGGCATCAAGTACGCCAAGGTTGCACAATCAGACGCCACTCTGATGGCACAGGCTTACAACAAGAAGACTGAAAAGCATAACAACAAGGTAATATTCAGATTTCACAGGGCGTTCAAAATTGCTGATGTCGAAAGAGAAGCATCCGAATCATCCCCGAGCCATGCGAGGGACAACTTGTATGTTGACGCGCCGTCATTGACCTTGTTATATAATCATGCTGATTCAGAGCCATAGTCTATGCCTCTCTTTGGTTGATGGCAAAGCTGGTCGTAATTGTTGCTGTTTTGGTCGGAGCGTACTTCTGTTTCCGACTCACCAAAGTCGAACAGGCCATCGAGTCCAGAGAGTTCCTGCCTGCTCAGTTTCATTATGGCCCTGCGAATTTGGAAAGTGACATCTCGGGGGTTTCAGATGCTGTCTCGGGAGAAGTGTCAAGCTGGGTCGCTTCTTGATTCAGGAGGTCTTGAAACATGCTCCCAGACAGTTAAATGGAGTTTAGCAAGTTCGGATTTTAGTCAAATGTCTGAATGAGAAGATGCATTCTCGGTTTTTACCACGCGCCAAGACGACTGTCTCCTGCCTTCTAGTTTGACATGTTTTACCTGCCTTCCTTTGCAAATTTTGACGCCAGAACGACTTCACAAAACCTTAGTGGATGCTCTGTAGATGACTTAGCCGAGCATGAGTCGTTGATTATCGGTGCCCACAGCATGGCCAATGACTGGAAAATCCAAACAAAGGAGACGTTGTTATCCTTTGAACACACCCCACTAGGGGTCACTGCAAACCTTTGAGGCTATAGCAGCTTGGGGGGGCTGGTAAGGTAGTATGCGATGGGACTCGACTGTACCCCACGTTCAACATTCACTCGCAAAAACTTTTGCTCTTCCTAACTTTGCGTCTCATATAAGCGAAGGTATAAATCGGCTTTCCATCATTGCGACCGAATGGATAGTCCAGTATGCCTCTTGAAGGTGAGTATCCTATCCCCAGCCGAGGTATATATCGGCTGACAGCCGCATAAGTAACTCCGCCACCCTTCTCCGCCAGTCAGCGACTTCCGTATGTCCCTCCCATCCCTAGGTTAGAAACTGGAGGTGGCAGCGCTTTTCCCTCCGGCGCCAGCAGTGTAGGAGGGCACGGTCCCGGACCCGTGGCTGCCGCTGCTTCTACTACCATACCCCCAGCTCCTGGCGGTATGGCAGGTGAGTAAAGTATCTCTAGATGGCGATCGACGAGAAGCTGACTTGGAACAGGACCGCACCGAGCTATCCCTGCTCTTCCCGAAGCCGGCTACACCTCCGCCTTAGCAGGGATGCAAGGCCTCTCTATAGGTAATCAGCAGGCCCCAGGCTCTCTATACGGAGGCAGTGCGTACAACAGTTATGCCCCTCGCTCGGTCCACGAACTCGACCCGCATGAACAAAATCATCATCCGCACATGCATTCGCCACTTTCAGTGGTCCAGAGCGAGAACGACTGGGCTGCTGCATCCTCTCTCCCTGCACCTCGCAGCCGCCTGCCCGCTGAATATATTATTGCCCCCAGGCATGGACACCATCATCACCATCACCATCATCATCAAGACATCAACGACGACGATTTTGACCGGCAGACTGACGCTAGCTATTACGCCTTGCCTCGTCATCGCGGAGGGCGCTCTCGCGCAGGTTCGGCGAGCTCTGCGTCTGACTCTGAAGATGCTCGGGAGCCACTTGGGGGACACCATCGCTCCGGATCTATTGGCCATGGACATGTATACAAACACCATCGTTCACCGTCTCTGCCACCTCACAATGCCAACGGTAACGGTCGTTTTCATTCACCCAACTCTTCTTCTCCTCTTGCCGGTGCAGGATCTCCCAGCCAACGGGGGAAGTCGCCACTCCCTCCTGTTGATCCCCGAGGACGAGAAAGAGGACAAAGGATGTTGTCACCAGCCCCCGATGGGGAGAGAAGACAGAGAATCTATTCTCATGTTCCGACCGAAGGAGAATCTGAACGTGGGCGCGAACCCAAATCGAGAGAACAAGATATCCGAGAGACTGAACGGGGAAGACGGCACTCCTCTGGTATCTCCGAAGGGGGACGTCCTCACATGCGAAGGCATAATTCTGCACAGATACCTGTTCAGCACCAGCAGTACCAGCATCAACACGGTCGTCACCCATCTAGTTTATACGGCCCGCAAGACATTGCCCGTGGTCGTGATCAATCTCCGCCCCCACCGCCATGGGTGGGGGGACCTGCTTCGACGATGGGCGCCATGGGGCAGTATCCACAAGACATGGGCGCCGGTCAGTATCAGCGTAGACGGGCAGTATCGATGCAGGGCCTGGAGAGGCCGGGGTCATATCAGCCTGCCAGTGTATACGACGACGCGGCGAGTGTGGCTTCTCACGAGTCAAATATGACGTTCATGGATGGGAGTATAGCGGGAAAAACGAGTCAGTATGGGCTCCCTAAGTATCCGCACCAGCCCAAGATGGATTATCGGAGGTGAGTACACGGTGTCATATCGTGGAGAATGGCCGTAGTGCTGACTGAGATCCTGCAGATTTTGCGTTCAACGAGGGAATGCTGACGTTTTCCTGGATTGATTGACCAAACGAATGCTTGACCGACCCTCAGACATTCACAAACTGAAGCCTATATATACCCAGAACTCAGATTTGTTTGACAAAATAAGAGTTCAGTGCTTGATTACTTCTCGTCATCATATTATTTTGGCGTCGAGCCGCGCTCAACTAGAATTGTACGTAGCAGCGAATGGTAGAATTCAAATATGTCTTAAATAGAGTACTTGCATGTAATTGTATGTCATCAGTGAGGTTTGTATCATACAGAGGGTATGCTAGCAAGATGCGAACATCTGACAAATTTAGAAATGTACTACTCTCTAGACTCAAGCATTTTCAGAACCAAAAGTTAGCGGGATAATTGCGATCACTCAGCGCATCTCAACACCATTTTCGAACCCCTTCATTCTTTGGTCGAAACGCAGATACCTCCCAGGCCAGAACCACGCATAAGAAGCGATTCCAAGCAGCAAAGGCAGCGAATCAAGACCCAACAAGAAAGCCTCATGAGTCGCGAGATATCCGACATAACCCTGGGCCAACTCGACAGTACGGTACACGCTTCGGATGAGGAAGCAGATGCAGGTGAAGAGGAGGGCAGAGTAGAGAGCTTTCCATCCCGGCGTGGTCCAGATGTCTTTGGCCTGAGATCGGCTGTAGTCTCGAACGTTATTGTGGCTCACTGTCTCAAGCACACCATGGACTCACACTCGTAACCCAAAGAGGAAGCAGACAATGGTGAAGAAGACGAAAGAGACCATCTGGGCAACGATACCGGCAAGCAGGATGTGGCCGCCCAGTCTTGCCTTGTCTTGCGAGACGGCCAAAGCGCCGCCGATGGCTTGGATGATAAACGTGGTCACTACGCTAAAGTCAGCACAAATCTCTCTTACGAGAACGAGGATATCATAGACCCACCGTCAGACATGATGAACATGAGAGATATACGCTTTGCCTTCAGCGGCCTGATACACTCGTGGGCGTTGAGATGCTGAACTAGCCGCCCAAGCAACACATAATCGGCCGCCAAGAACGCACAAGGCTAGGACGAAAATCAGCACGCACGTCTGTTGATAGAGTGGGGAAGAAGGTACTTACAGACAGGATGATGAAGAGATTGCAGACAACATAGAGAGGGACAGAGTGAACATTCTTCCGGAGAATGACACGAAGAACAAACCCGACTCCCTCTGCCCAGGCTCCAATTACCATGGCAAGAAAGTAGTTGGCCTTGCGTTTGAAGGCCCCTGCAGTACAAGTTAGCCTTCTTCACAGGCTCGAGGGCAGGGAGGAGCTTACAGATGGTTAGGATTATGGCCACAAGGAAGAATAGCGCAGCGGCGAGGATGTTGAGGGCTTTGTTGGGGATGTATCGTAGAGGGTTGCAGCTGATATACGCATCAGCTCTGGTGGCGGCGGTCTTCTAGCATCTCATCGCAGGACATCAACTCACATATCATGCGCCGGGTCCGCCCATTGATCAGGACAATTGGATCTATCCCCAAGAGCATAGACAGGGGATGAGATGCACAGAGCAAACAGTATCAGGAGGAAGAGCTTGGAGGACATTGTAGCGGCCGGAGGTCATGAGGATGATGAGCTACATTGAATTTCTCTTCATCGTCCTTTTATGCACTTCAGCTTATCGCTTTGGCCCTGTTAACCTCGAGAAAAGAGCACCTTGCGGCCCCCGAGGCCCGCAACTTTGCTGTATGCAGCGAAAGTGTAAATATACGGTTCCAACAGGAGCCGAAAGCGAAAGCGAAAAAGATAAGAAGCAGGTGTTTATTCCAGATTGCAGATCACACCGGCCACCGGCAACAGGGCCAACAGATAACAAATTCCCTGAACAGTTGAAGAAGTATGCATCGATCGGGCACCGTCTATCGCAAACCTTGGTCACAAATATCGTTGAACTACTAGCTCTTATCAGCGCGAAGCCGCAAAATGGCTGTTCTGATGCCCGTAAGGCTTGTAAATTTCCCCTTCCCCTTGCCCACTTCCGTACGCCCTCAGCGAGTAAGCATGCTCAGCCCCTTCTGATGATTCCCCTCTCGCCACATATCCTGGATTCTTGAAAGGGTTCCTCTCAAATTGGATGTACCGGCTTGGCCAGAACCAACAGTAGATTCCGACACCAAGAAGCAGCGGGAGAGTGTCCAAGGCGAGAAGATAGCCTTCGTGTGTGGCCAAGTATCCGATATAGCCCTGGGAGAGCTCGACAGCACGGAAGACGCTTCGAATGATGAAGAAGAGGCATGTGGGGGCCATGGCAAAATACAGAGGTTTCCAGTTCGGGGTGTCCCAGATCGACTTGTCTCGGTAACTGTGTCGATTTTAGTGCTTGCGGTTATTCTAGAAAAAAAAAGCTCACGCTCGGATACCAAACATGACATAGAGGATGGTGAACAGGCAGAACGACACCAGTTGAGCCGCGATACCGACAAGAAATAATTTGCTGCCAAGGTCGGCGCTGCTCTCGCTGCCAGAAGCTGAGAGACCTCCTCCAGATGCCTGAATCAAAAAGGTTATGACTGTGGGCTCTGTCAGCTACTGCCACTGACAGGATACGGGGAAGAGAGGGACGTACCATCAGAGATGATGAAGATAGTAGAGACCCGCTTAGCGTTGAATGGCCTGATGCAATGCCCAGCGTTGAGGTATACTACCAGTCGCCCGAGCAAAATATAGTCGGCTGCCAAGAAAGCACAAGGCTATGGACTATCAGCTTGTAGCAATACAAGTCGACCAAAGACATACAGGAAGGATGACGAAAAGGTTCGCGACGATATAGACCGTGAGCTGGTGCACGTCCTGTCGAAAGACTACACGAAGCACGAAACCAACGCCCTCGAACCAACAAGAGATTGGAAGGCAGAGAAAGTAGTTTGCTTTTCTTCGAACGGCCCAAAATGTGAGTATGCCAGCGACGATGAAGTACAGAGCGGCGGCGAGACAGTTGAGAGCTTTATTGGGAATGTATCTCAGAGGATTGCATCTGCAACATGTCAGTGGACGTGACTCGGGGACAGAAGGATACACACATGTCGTTGGCAGGGTCCTCCCACTGGTCGGGACAATTGCGGTCATCGGCAGCGTATACTGCCTGAGAGGACAGGATGATTGTGGTGATCAACAGCTTGGCGACGGTGTTGAAAGAAGGCATAATGATTGGTATGTTTCCTGCTGGGGCTGGCGTTCTTCTGGGGGACAAGGGGGGCCCTTATATACATTGGGCATCACTATGTTTTTCGCCTATTTCAACAATCGGCCGCCGCAAGAAAGAGAGGATACTGAACCAGCCAGGCGTCCCGGCAGCCGGTCAGCGATCACATTTGTAGGAGGCGGTACACCCGGTCCCTCGGCCGCCGGCCCGCCTAGAATCTGTCCCACACTAGGCGTGTATTCTTAATTCTCTGGGGGTTTAGGCGCCTACTCATTTTGAACTCGCTCGCTCATCTACTGTCGCATGTATCTATTTTCTATGCATCCTACGAACAATTTCCAAGACTGAGTGTGGGTTAGATGTTAGCGGCTGTCAGCGGGGGTCATCGGCAGGTTAGTAGGGAGAGGATGGAACTCTTGTTGCACGCTATACGCTGGTTAGGGTCAGCCGGGGTTTGGACTTCACCAAAATTCTTGATCTTGGGAAGCGCCTATGTAGTGTGGGACAGTTCCAGGCGGGTTATCGGCGAGTCGGCGCCCGACATTCCGGCATTGTCCACCCCTGGGTGTGTCCAGGCATGTCGCTGAAAGGCAATCACAGTCGTCAACAGCTGTAAGGTTTACTGAGAGTATTTCGCGACATGCGCTGCGGTTCAATTATAAAGTTGACTTGGCAACATTTGCATATGACTTTTTTTTGGACCTCGCAAGAGGGCTATCAAGGAGCTCTCTTTGAGAACGGAAAAGAAACAGAGTCGAGCCTCCCAGCGAAAGCTACTTTACAAAGCGATATAAAGTACATCTTGATCGAAATATAATAGGAAAAAGACAGTAAAATCCATATGTTTCGAGACTAGGAAGGGTCAGCTTGGAGGCTAGAACACAAAAGAGGACGTACTGAGCGATAGTATTACACAGACAGTTTCCTTCTCTTCCTCGCTTCCTCTTCATCGTCTAAAGCTTGACTTAGGTGGTGCATGTCATCGTGACCAGCACCGATAGCCTCCTCGAGCTCCAACCTCTTCTCGCCATGTCCATCGTCATGCTCGCGCCCAGGCTTCTCAGCCGCAACAGCCGCAAGCGCTAAATTGACATTGACACTCTCGATATGTTGAGGGGGAGGAGGGATATCATGGCCGGATTGGACGAGGAGGGCTTCAAGTTGAGAGATGCGCTCAGCAGCAGAAACCATTTGTGTCGAGAGGGCAATGTTGTCAGATTTGAGTGATGAGACGTAACTATCAGACGCGTCAGAAAAACGTAGACACAATACCATGCACACATACCTCGCGGTAGCAGGGTTGAGCTCAAAAACGCAGGCAACGTCCGCCTTGCCGCATCCAGCACACCTAGGGCGCGCGTTGTCACACTTTCTCTTGATCTTGTGGCACCTGACACAAGCTTGGGCAACGCTTTTGGGAGGATGCACAAAGACGGGACCGAGCTTGAAGTCACCGGAAGGATGGGCGAAATCCAGAACACCCTCCTCAGGCAAGCCGTCGGCGTTGAGACCATTCTTCTCGACGGCACCACGAGGCTTGGACTGCCTGGCGCGCTTACGCGGCTTGTCAGAGCCATCGCCACCGTTGTCGTTTACGCCGTCGTGACCAGACGCGCCAGACTGATCGTTGTAGGAATAATTTTGGCCGGAAGGGCTATGCGCGCGAGATGGATGGTCTCGGTAGCCATCATCCCAGGGATTGGTCCGCTGGCCGGGCACGCCATTGGACCCATTGTCCCAGTTGCGGAAGTCGTCATCGCGTGCGGAAGAATTCTGGTATGAGCCAAAGTTCTGGGTAGCGTCAGCCGCGGCCTGGGCATGCTCTTGGTCGGTGCGAGGAATATCGGGAGGTGCACCCGCATCGCCCATGAGCTCTGGGGCAATCTGGATGGGGTGGTCGGGATTGTCATGTTCGAGGGCGGCTGCGAGAGACGGGACGTCCTGGCCGGGCGAGGTGGTGAAGGCCATGTTGGGTGATGTCTGGGTGGATGCGGGGGCTGCCGGTGGATGAAAGGCGGAGGAGGGCGAAAGATGTTTGTTCTCAGCGGCGGGGGGCAGCGAAGAAATGGCCTGCTGGAGCGGAACCAACCCTGAGCCGCATACGTAAGCACGACGGAAGCTTTCTGCAGCGTGTCGCGACGACCTTCCACTCTGTTCTAATTTCCAGCTCGTCTCGAAATTCAGCTATCCCTCACCTCCCATCATGGCCCTCAAAGTCCCAAAAGCTGGTGGCCCCGACCTTTTCAAGTCGGGCTACAAGCAAATGTCCGGCCTCGAGGAGGCGGTCCTCAGGAACATCGCTGCCGTCGGCGAGCTGAGTGAAATCGTCAGGACATCATTCGGTCCCAATGGACGTAACAAGCTCATCATCAACCACCTCGGCCGCCTCTTTGTCACCTCTGATGCCGCCACGATCATCCGAGAAATCGAAGTCGCGCACCCTGCCGCCAAGTTGCTTGTCATGGCGAGTACTGCTCAGGAAGGAGAGATGGGCGATGCCACCAACCTCGTCCTCATCTTCGCGGGTGAATTGCTCAAGAGGTCAGAGCACCTTTTGACGATGGGTCTGCATCCTTCAGACGTGATCCAGGGTTACGAGATGGCTTTGGCCAAGGGACGAGAGGAGCTTGAATGTGAGTCCGGTCTTATATCTCAAGAAGACGCGCTGACATGAGTCAGCTCTCGTGACTTCCATTATTCCTTCTTCCCCTCTCCCCACCCAAGAGCAGCTTGCTGCCGCCATCTCATCCTCTCTCGCCTCCAAGCAACCCGGCTGTGAAGGTATTCTGTCAAACCTCTGTGCGGAAGCTTCTTTGGCTGTCATGCCCAAAAACCCCAAAGACTTTAACGTCGACTCTGTCCGAGTAGTCAAGGTGATGGGAGGTGGATTAGAAGCTAGTAGGGTCGTCAGGGGTATGGTCTTTGGTCGAGAATCTGAAGGTGAGTCATAGATAGTCTTGTCATTGAGCCCTCTAACGAATTGCAGGTCACGTCAAGAATGTGCAAAAGGCCAAGGTCGCTGTCTACACTTGTGGTTTGGACATCTCTCAGACCGAGACCAAGGGCACTGTTCTGTTGAAGAAGGCGGAGGATTTGTTGAACTTTTCGCGTGGCGAAGAGCAACAGCTTGAGGGTGTAAGTGGTCTGTGCGTTGCATGAGCCCTGCTAACGACTGTCATAGTACTTTAAGGAGATTGCCGACTCTGGCGTCAAGCTTGTCATTGCTGGATCCGGTATCGGAGACCTCGCCCTCCACTACCTCAACCGAATGGGCATTGCCGTCATCAAGGTCCTCTCCAAGTTCGACCTTCGTCGATTGTGCCGAGTCGTCGGTGCCACTCCCCTCGCCCGACTTGGTGCACCTACCCCCGAAGAAGCTGGTTTCGTGGATGTCTTTGAGACTATTGAGATTGGTGGTGACCGTGTGACTGTACTTCGCCAGGAGGAAGGCGAAAAGACCCGTACAGCCACTATCGTTTTGCGAGGTGCCACCGCCAACTATCTCGATGACCTCGAGCGATCGCTCGACGACGGTATCAACACTGTCCGCACGCTCCTGCGTGATGGTCGATTGGTACCTGGTGCCGGTGCTACCGAGATTGAACTTGCTCGCCGAGTCGCTGCCTATGGCGGTAAGACTGCCGGTCTCGCTCAACACTCTATCAAGCGATGGGCGGAGGCCTGCGAAGTTGTGCCCCGTACGCTCGCCGAGAATGCCGGTCTCAACGCCGAAGACGTCTTGTCGTCCCTCTACAAGGCGCACGCGGACGGCCATCTCGACGCTGCCGTCGACATTGAGAGCGAAAAGTTGGGTGTGAAGAGCGCCAAGGAGCTCGGCGTGCACGATTCGTTTGTGGCGAAGGACTGGGCTATCAAGCTTGCGACGGAGGCGGCGATAAGTGTGCTCAGGGTTGACAGTATTATTGTCGCCAAACAGGCTGGCATCGCCCCGCCGAAACAGCAGGGCCACTGGGACGACGATTAGAGGAGCAGGGCGCAGAACAACAATGTGTACAACAATTTCTACATGCATATGCAGGTTACGCTCATAACAGGGTCATTGGATATTGCAGATTGGACCCGGGGGTTTTTTGGCTGGCGGGGACGATTTGGAAACCTTTTCCATCGTAATCTTCACTGACAGTCAGTATCGGATCCGCCGTCGAGTTTATGCAGAGCTCACAGGGACCATCACACCTCCGGGCAATTTGGTCCCCAGAGGCAACACCATAGGAAAGTCGGCGACACTTGACATTGGCAAGACTGCTCCGCCAGGGAGTGATGTACCTGCTGGCAAGCTATAGGCTGTCAGTACTTGCGATTGTCTCTTTTAGGACTCACAAGACACCCTCCGTGCTACGTTTCCGTCAGCATTGTACGGCAAGATGGATACAGGCTGATACGTACATGGTATGATAGGCATGATACTTGATCCCGTACCCGTCCGGTACGATTGCATTCTAATCAAGACTTCATCATCAGCATCTCTTGCACGTACCGATATAGTAGGGTCTCACTGGTATGGGCTCTTCGACAGTCACAGCGAAGGGATGGTCAGGCCTTCCAGCGCCCACACCAGGCGGGGCCGCGAACTTTTTCCTATCTTCCGCCATTGTAAACCTTGTCTCCTGGTCTTTGCAGCATGTATGGGAAGCCGTATGTATCAATGCATGGTACCGAGGCCAGCGAGGGGACAGCATGCCGTCTCCTTTTGTTGCGATCTGAAAGGATCATGTTGGGTCGGTCATTACAAAGGATCACTCGTTTATACAGGCCCCGGCGATCGGTCAGCAGGTGAGTGCAACTGGTCTGACCAGCTCAAGGTTCTTCTACGAGAAGCAGGCTTGGATGAGGATGCCATGTAGCTGCAAGAGCGCCAAATACCACGTCTCTTCGTTGAAAGACTCTGGCAGGAACTGCATAATCAACCCAGTCCCCCATGGGCATCCCGGCAGCCGGCTGATGTGCTTGGCCGATCGCGCGGGCAGTTCTCCGCTCATTCCCTTCCTCCCTGACGATGGCCGTTCATCTCAAATCGTCCCACTTCCCAGCGAAAGATGCAAATCATTCATCATCTTCTTCTTCATATCGCCCTTACCCCATCATTCACCCAGCTTAATTGGACATAAGCGTCCCCTCCCCCGTTCAGCAATCAGCGCCACTCAAGCCTGGATACTCCGAGCACTTCACGCCTTCGGCCTTCGGTTTCGTCAACAACCCTTCCGCCTTATCTGTGGCAGTGCAATCCTTCAGATATATAATAGAGGCGAAAAAACACGCGACTTGAGACCCCACCAAGCCTGCCTCGCTCCGCTATCAGTCTGCAAATCCAGACTCAGCAAGCGAGCGACAAGTGCGGCCGCCGCAATCCAGAGAGGCGAAAACAACAAACATGCTGAATATGAGCAGGCGAAACATGCTACTGGGCGTCTTGGCCACTCTTTGCCTTCTTTCAGTCTCACAGGCTAGAAAGGTCGATGTGGAGTGCCCAGCAGACCCCTATCTGAGCCCCTCCACCGACATGTAAGCTGGTGTTTTGCTCACAGACAAGTCATGGACTGATCTTCCCTGCAGTTGCAATCCTTTGCGATATATACCAAACCGGGCTATCAACATAGCAGCAGCGGTCCTGTACTTTGTGGTGGCTGCCGTGTTAACCTTCCGTATGTCCACAATCTCTTTACGTCTTTCGTTGCTCACTCTCCCGGTCTTCCCTCAGATTCATTCCGTCGGAAAGCCAATTACTTCTTGGCTCTGGTCATAGGATGTTGGTGTGAAGGTATAGGATTGGTTTTGCGAGTAGCCTTCAGGTCGAACCCCCACAGTACTGGTGAGTTTGCCACAGATCGCTAAAGGGCCGACACTGACAGGATTGAGCAGGTCTCTACATCGTCTGCTATCTTTTTGTCGTTCTCTCCCCATGCGCCTTTTTGGCAGGCGACTACATCCTCTTGGGTCGTCTAGTATCTTACCTTGACGCGCATGAACGACTGCGCCCACTCCGGGCCGCAAAGGTGTCATGGATTTTTATCATATCAGATGGTGAGCCATCTTTACTCTGCACTCAAGTGCGATGCTGATGGAAACAGTCGTCACTTTCCTCATTCAAGCCGCTGGTGGCGGTCTGTCCACTGCGAAGGATATCGACGTTGCCGAGACGGGCGGACACATCTTCCTGGCCGGTATTGCTATCCAGATGGCCTCCTTCTTGTTCTTCTCCATTGCTTGGGTCATATTCGGTGTCAGAACGTGAGTCATACCGGGCGTATCAATGCTCAAAGCTGATGGGTCAATAGTTGGAAAGAAGACAAAGCACTCTGGAACCGTGAAGGGTGGAAGCCTCTCTTCTGGGCTCTGGGCTTTACGTGTATCTGCTTCCTTATCCGAAGCATCTACCGTACCATTGAGTTGAGTCAAGGGTGAGTCTCAATCTGAAACACATATCTACCTCTGCTCACACGTATCCGGCAGATATATCGGCTACATTGCCGTGCATGAGAGATACTATCTCGGTCTCGACTGTCTTCCCCTGCTTCTGGGAGTAGCCACCTACATGTACTTCTGGCCTGGAAAGTACTTGACTTTTGATCCCAAGCCAAAGAAGGTGAAGAAGGAAAAGAAAGGGAAGAAGAGCGATGTGGAGCAGCAGTTGGAGGAGGAAGTGCCGATGGGCCAGGTTGGAGAGGGCGCGATTGAGTCTAGGGGTGTTGAACGGATAGATAGGGCTGGGGAGAAGTATTGATTCGCATTTTAGGTTTCCTGATCTTGTTTATCTCCTTTGCCGTATAGTGCTCGTCTCTATACATATAGTATCGTCTCTCTATGCACTCAATATGCACTGCACCATCTGCGTTGTGTCTCACGTTGACTGATTATTCTTACGCGTATTTTATTTTGATTTTCCCGGGATTTGATTCCGTCACTGTCAACACTGGAGATGCAGCATCATGGATGTTTGCCTATTCGTATCTTTACTTCACATCCCTCAGTTCATTCGCTCCTCCCCTTCCCTCGTCTCGCCCGCCATGGACCCTATCCCCCCCTCCTTCTACGACCTTGAGCGGCGTAGACTCGAAAACACCATCGACCTCGACCTCGCCTCCCTATCCCTCTCCTCCCTCCACTCCACCGCATCCTCATCGTCTCAACCATACTACCAAACCGCTCCCCAGGAGTACCAAGATCATACCTTCCTCTCCTCCTCCTCTTCCGACTTGTCATTGGAGTATCCCCGAGCCGAGTCCATACGACCGTCGGCACACCATGTCAGTGGTGTTGGGTATGGCTACGGCCAAGGACCCTCTGGAACTCCCCGTGCTCCCCAGAGCATGACATCGAGAATGGGCTCCTTGGATGCCCAAAGCGTCTTTGCCGGATCTAGTCCGGTCTCAACTGCTGGACACCATGCGAGCGCAATGACCCTAGGTGCAGGTGTGTTTGGTGGTCACGCGGGAAGGCATGGAAAGGAGAATGAGCCCGAAGGCCATTATGATTCAGAGAGGAGCATGGGAAAGCTTGTTGGAGAGCTGGGAAGGGTTATGGGTGCAAAGGTGGGCCATCTTTCGCAGAAAAAAAACAATTCTGTTTGTCGCTAACATTGCTCGTGCAGAATATGCCGTCACGGCCAGACTCGCCATTCTCACCGAGGTCACCCTCACCTCTTCCATCTGCCACCAGCCAGCCTCTCAACCTCTCCTATACCCTATCCCGAAACGACCAGCTTCTCAGCCCTCCGTCTAGTAGAGAGAAGACCATGGACTCTAGGCCGGTGGACCTCGACTCCAAGTCCCACTTTACGTCCTTTGCTCGCCAGATCAGTGGTGATCTTCGAGCCGCTCGCCAAGCCGAGCAGGTCCCTGCGCCAAAATCGAAACCCAAAAGGCAGCCTCTTGGCGCATCCAACATCGACAACATCTCTCGTACGCCCGGCCCGCGCAAGACGACAGGAAAGGAGAAGCCGGATAGGGTTCGTGCTCTTCAGACGGAAGGCAGGAGGTCCGCTAGCGCACCGGTGATGAGGAAGGAGGTCTCTGCAGACATCACTGGATTGTCGGGTCTACTGGCGACTCCGGCGGCAGGCCACAAGTATGGAGGCATCAGTAGAGATGGTGACGTGGGAGGGGAGCCAGCAGGTAAGTTGTGTTTGTTTATCCTACCAAGACGAAGCTAACGGCCATAGTGAATATTCCTCACACACTCGCTACCCTTCATGCAAGGCTGAGGGCGCTGGAGACGGAAAACTCTGTATCTCGAAGGAGAGTGAAGGAGCTCGAGGAAGAGTTGGAGGCGGCAAAGAAGGCGGTCGATGCGGCAAAAAGGTCGGGAGACAAGAATGTGAAAGAGGCAGTCTATGAGAAATCTGGTAAGGCATTGCACCTGAGTCGTGTTCTCAGCTCACACGTCTTGCAGCTTTGGAAGAACTTATACGATCTCTCCGCGACAATCTTGCTCGTTTGACCGTCGAAGTCGAACACAACAAGGCCTTGGTAGCCGATCTTCGCCAAACCGCTTCAAACGACCGACCCGGTCCCTCATCCCAATCATCTTCTGTCCAATCAGAGCTTGCTGCCCTACGCATGGAGATTGAGCGTCTCACTCGAGAAGTTGAGCGACTCGGAGGTATCGTGACTTCAGGCCTCGAAACCCAGAAACGAGCTCGTGGTGAACGGACTGTCCGAATGGAAGAAGCAGAGATGGAGAAGCTTGTCCGACAGGTGGTCGAGGCTGAGCATGAGGAGATCAGGCGAGCACAGGCGGACGTAGAGAGGCGACAAGCTGAGCTAGTTGCCCAGCAAAAAGCCAAACCCCCTAGGCCGAACACTGCGTCCACCTTCCAGCAACCTCGGGACATCTCTCAGATTTCTCAAAACCCCACTCCTCCTCCATCGGACGATGGTTATGACTCTCCTACCGCGTCTCGACCAGGTTCCCGGCAAACGCTTGTAGCACCGACTCCCGAGCACCGACCACAAGAGCGAAAGTCCAAAAGCAAGCGAAACAAGTCCAAGCTGGCATACGAAGACAGGAGCGGAGGCCCCGGATCACCGTTCCCGAGTATCAATGACGAAGAGCTGGAAAAGGAATTCTTCAGTCCTTCCAGTAAACCTACAAAGAGCCGTACCAAGGCGTATGATGTCTCGGGGCTTGGTGAGATTTTGTTGAATGGCGGGCATGACGATGAGCTGCCGCCACAGACGGTCCTGGCTAGGGTGATTGCAGAGTTGGAAGACGACTTCAAGCATTACAAATCGTGAGTCGACTTGTGTCCCCGTGTATGACGACTGTGGCTTACCCCAGGCAGCATCTACTCTGAGCTGGCCGACCAGTACAAAGTCCTCGACCCTGCTTCAGTCTCTGCCAAACGCCATGTCCTCGCCGACCATCTCCGCGAAGTCATAGACACGCTCGAACAGAAAGCAGACCAAATCTCCGAGCTGTATAGCCTCCTCGTCTTTTCAGACAAGACACTCTCAGCAGGCGAGCGAAGAGAGAGGAATAAGCAAGGCGTGAAGAGTGTTGGGGATGTGTTGAGGATGGTCAAGAGGAGCTTGGGAGAAGAGGTTTGGGCGAGGTTGCAGAGGGATTTTAAAAGGGATTCATGATGTCGGGCAACTCTTGCAGAAGAGGACCAAAGAGAAGAGTTTCTTGGGGCTGGCCTTGAGGGCGTCACACCCAACCCACATTTACAGAGTCGTGTTCAAGTTGTCATATGATCATACAGACCCTCGCATTTGATGTATCTGTAAATTACAGTAATGGTCGTCTAGACGGAAGAGTGTCTTGCCAAAAGTCCGGGTGGATGAGACAACCCCTCCTTTTTAGTGATGGGCGGTGTACTGCTTGGGGAGCTTGTGAAGCCAGGTCTGGCATTGGAAGGTTCGATGAAGAGAGGGTGTGTAGATGAAGTAAGCCAGGAGTAGCTCTAGCTGTGTCTGGCTGTACTCGTATAGCGCCTAGCAACCAAAGCTGCCGCGAGTCAAAAAGCATCAGTGACAGCTAGTCCGGATCGACTGGTGTGCGTGTGATAGTGAATGACATAGAAGTACATGATGATTTCCTATTATGAATGGCTATACAAAAAGTCCAGGGGTACAAAAGAGCCCTATTCTCCGTCAGCTTCAGTTCCCCCATGGGCACAGGTTTCAAGAGAGGGAGGACAGATTGCGTAATAGATTCAGAGACTCGCATGCGTATATGGAGCCAGAGCATTTTTCCCCAGTATAACAGTAGGCCTGGTGCCAGCTTGTATTTCATCATAAAATTTCGAAAAGGAGAAGGGAGAGAGGATGGGAAGGAGGGATGGGAAGAGGAACTCACAGATTGTATGACGAGAAAACAGGGGGTGGCCGAGCTGAAATCTTGTCGATAGCACGTTGAACACGAGGAAAGAAAGATTGGACAGTAGAAACAGAGATGCAGATTGAAAGTTTCGTCGACGACGCGAAAGGTTTTGACGTGTTTGCGCGTTACGTAAATAGGCGGCAACTGCCGATGTAGATTTGATCCCGTCTTGCTCACCATCCTGTCGTTGGTCCACCCAGAAATGCACCCCAACATCACCCTCGGAAGCACGCACGCGCAAGAAGACTCTTTGGTATCTGATGGGCCCTGGTTCCCAGATAAATATGCCTGCTACGCTACAGAAGGAATCCTGTCCCTTGTCCGATCCTCGTGGCTGAATATGACCGTCTTCCCAGAGTCATACCTCAGCCGTCTGATTAGTCTCTTGTGACTTCGCGTCAGGCATCACATGATAGTTTGATGTGCATATCAGCACGCCAGTCAGAATCCAGAAGCATACCACTACATCTACTGCGGCTGGAGGCTCTTCATCTGTTCCTCCTGCCTCCTATTATTGCCTCCGTATTCCTATACTGCAGCCTCGTCCCAGTACGCATGCCCGAGGGCACAGTCACTCGTCAACGAGCCTATCATCTCCCCCACGGTTCTATTGAACCTCTCGGCTACTCCGTTGAGCTGGGGAGTGTAAACTGGGGAAAGCTGTTCGATGATACTTCTTCGCTTGAGGTACTAGATGATTTCAGTGTTGACAAACTCCGAATCGTGGTCCGATCATCCAGTACCTCAAGCGAAGAAGTATCATCGAACAGCTTTCCCCAGTTTACACTCCCCAGCTCAACGGAGGAGCCGAGAGGTCCAATAGAACCGTAGGGGAGATGATAGGCTCGTTGACAAGCGACTGTGCCCTCGGGCATGAGTACTGGGACGAGGCAGCAGTATGGCATGCTGAATTTCACGGCGGTGTCAGACAACGGCAAGACGGGGTGAGAGAATTGGACTCACCGGAAGTCGAACATCGACAAGTTCAAGCCGTTTCGTACCATCTGCAAAGTTACATTAACTCGCAGGCATAGTAAAGGGACTTTCGATACGCCGAGAGGTCTCAGAGAACACTTGCTAGGTTTCAGCGAAGACGCTAGCGAGTGGGAGGTACGGCCCGAGGCGACAGGCGAAGAGGTTATGTCCGGGGATGTGAGATTCCTCATGGGACTAGACCGAAAGATGGGCGTTGCCGGACTCTACGGCCTAGAGCAAAGCGGTCGTGCGTGGTGGCTCGCGCTGTCGGAGCAGATGGAGAAGCTGGGATTCAAGAGGTTGGAAGAAGAGAATGTCCACCGTCGCTGAGAGCGAGCGAGTCAGCTTTGCGACGTGCAAGGGTTTGAGGGGGAGTAGAGTTCTCGATCAGATACCCGATGCCCTGCGTTTTGGATGGTGTTTGTCGTTTCCTGTGCCCGTTTCAGTTGTACTATTATTCTCCTTTATTTGAAGAGATATGAAGATAGTTGGGGATCATAGGGGAGTGTAGAACTTGGAGACAACTTGGAGATGATCCCGCAACTGGAGAGTATTCACATGGTTAGTAGTGGCAGTAATTACACCAGTAACTATGCAGTGCCGAGGTTTAAGGGCCAACCCAACCCGACTATAAGTCAACGGCGTCCAACCTGCTTAACCCAGAGCTACGGTACACGCACATACTAGCTATTGAATGTAACACGGGTACACCTTTTTCAAACTCCTCACAGGCCGGAGAATAGCAAGGGATCTGGGAGGCAAAAATGGAAGGAAAGTCTCCAATCATGAGATGGTGTGCACCACTCTTCGTTGTCTCGCATCGTAATGGGTTGACGTTTGAATGAATCTGAAAGAGGATTGGCTATAAGCGGGGCACGCATGAAAGCTGCCTCTGTACAAGTCGATACATGTCCCACGCTTCTCAAACATTCTAGCTATCAATCTCCATCCCATCCCCGCCCGCCGCCCCAGCCCCAGCCCCAGCGCCGGCCACGACACCCTTCACCTCCACACCCGGCTGTTCCTTCCCCGCCCCACTCGTCGACTTGATCTCCTCCTTGACAATCAAGCTGCGGATAGACTCTTTCGTCCAGGCTGTTGTACCGCGGCGGAAGATGTAGTTGCGGGATTTGGTGCCTCGCTCGTTCTACCCCCGTATCAGTAAGAGTGCTAAGAAGGAGGGGAAGAAGAAGAGGGGCGTACAGGAGTTCGATAGTTTCGGAGCATCTCGGTACCGGCCTTGGTGATCACGGCGACATCGACATTGGAACCTGATCCAAGATCGTTCCAAATACCACTCTCAATAGCCCTCGCCACCAGGTCAATCGCCTCTTGTTTCTACCCCCCAAAATATCAGCCTTGTCCACCACCAAGGAAGGGATGATGATACGTACAGTCATGTTCTCCTTGAAGCTGCTCTCAAAGACCGCCATAGCGGCCAGACTACCACTGCCCATAGTGACATACGGCAGCTTATCGGTGGATCCGTGAGCGTGGACGGTAAAGAGCTGAGGACCGGTGGCGTCGACGCCGCCGAGGACGAGGTGCGCACCGACGTGTCCTTGGTATCTGTTATACTGTCAGACGGAGATGTGAAGGACGTGGGAGGGGGACAGACCGGAAGAGGTATTGTTTGAGCATGGTCATGGCTGTGACGATACGAGCTTGACGGCCTTGGGACAAGGCATGAAGCTGGGTGTAGGGTTAGTAGTGGGCGACGAGGTGGTCATAGGGACATACTTCGAGGTTTGAAGAGATGAGGTTGGTGACGAATCTTGGACACCGAATGTCAGTAAAGTCCCCGTATAGTAGGATCATGTGACGTACTCGGTATCGGCGGCAGTACCAGCACCGCAACATCTGATATGAGGCGCAAGGTAGTGAATCTGCGCTCATCAGCCATCATACCATCTAGCCATGACAAGGACGCACCTTTTCACAATTCTTGTCGGCCACGATAGGCCCACCGGTGGCTCGTGTATCAGCACCAAGGCATACTCCCGGCTCGTCGCCCGAGTCTCCGCCGCCGTAGATGACACCGACGATGGTGGTACCAGTCGAAGTGGCTACGGATAGTCAGCTTGGGTTGCTGATGTCAGACGTGACGGACCCTTGGGGACGCCCTGGAGGCGCTGTCCGAGGAAGTTGTTCCTTGCGTGGTTGGAAAAGTCGAAGCCGGTGACGGTCATGGTGTATGGTGATGAAAGACAGACAGAAGCAGAGACTAAGACGCGCGTACAGTGAGTGATTTGATCCCGTCGCGGTGTCATGTCATCAGATCCGTCCGTCTCTCTCTCCCCTCCAACCCACGCACGATGCAAGCCTTCCGCAATTTCCAGGCGCAGATGCCCGCCCTCCCCGCCGTCGACGTCACTGCCGTCAGCAAGAGCTTCAGGCATACCATTCAGTCCACCAGGGAACGTATGGGCAATGTCGGCCCCGATGGTATCACCGAGTGAGTCGAGTAGCCAAGTACCAGGCTCAGACTGACGCCGCCCAGGCTGCCCGCCGAGTACAAGCAGCTTGAAGCCCGTGTTGACGCCCTCAAGGAGGTCCACCAGAAACTCCTCAAGATCACAAAGGTCCACGAGCGAGAATCTGTACGTCCCTCAAGTCCTCTAAGTACTGTGCTGATGAGAGCAGTACGACTACCCCGCCGATGTGACGGAGGGTCTCTCCGAAGTCGGCCAACAGGCAGCTTCCGCGTGGAGCACCTTTGCCAACAAGAACCTCAAGGTATGACCCGCGGTTTGTGGTGCATCTTGCGCAGCAACTGACAGACCATGTACAGGGCACCAACTTGCCCATCCCCATTCCCAACCCTACTGCGCCTCCTCCTCACCAGCCCAAGACTCTCCCTCACGCTCTTTCCAGAGCCGCCAAGTCGGGCGCCACAGAGCTTGGGGACGACCGATTGGGCGTCAACCTCGGTATCTACGGTGCCGCCATGGAAAAGGTCAGTCGTCTCTTTTCCCACGGGGAACCTACTCGCTAATGTAATACAGGTCGGCGACGCCCGTCTCGCGCAGGATCAACTCATCTCGGAGCGATTCGTCACCCCCTGGCAAGCCACCCTCTCCACCTCCATCAGCCTCGCCCTCAAGGCCCGCGCCAACGTCAAGGAGTCCCGCCTGGAGCTCGACTCTGCTAGGGCCGCTTTAAAGGGGGCGCAGCCCGCCAAGCAGGAGCAGGCGAGGTTGCATGTGGAGGAGGCGGAGGACAGGCTTGTGCAGAATACCGAGACTGCTATCGGGCTTATGAAGGCTGTGCTTGAGAACGTGAGTCGGTCCACTTGACCGTGAGAAGGGGCTGATGGTGTCGCAGCCCGAGCCGCTTCAGAACATTTCCAACCTCGTCAAGGCCCAGCTCATCTACTATTCCACCGCCGCCGAGACTCTTTCCGGTATCCAGGGCCAGATCGAAGAGGCTGCCACTGCTGCCGAGGGCGACTACAGGCAGTCCAGGGGTGCTTGATTGTGCTTTCTGAACGAGTTTGCTTGATTACGGTATGATGTTGCTGTGGAATAGTATCTGGGATATACGTTAGAACCTGTTGACGAGAAAGATGAATATATCGAACGCTCTACATGTACAACCGGCTCGTTAGGTTCGTTATATGTCTACAAATTACACTTCTCGCCCTATCCCCTGTGCTGAATTCGCCCTCTTGATACTACCCGCTCCCTGACTACCCCCCGGCGCTGTTGCAACCCCCGGCCCAATACTAGCAGACGGCTTCACCATCCCCACCGAAGCCGGCGGCCCCGGCATCGTCGGATACCTCGCAGGGAACGGCGTCGAGCTCGCCTGATGCGTCACAGACGCCGGCGGTGCAGCAAGCGACGGCACGGGCGGCTGAGTCGCCAGCGGTGAAGATGTCGTTGGGAGGGACGGCGCGATAGATGATGGGGAAGTGTTGAGCCGGGGGATGGAGGGATAGCGCGAGGATGTCTGGGAAGGCCGGGTGTATGCTATGGAGGAAGTGACGCTTGCTTGGTCTGAGCCTCTGCGCGACATTGGCACGGAAGACGCTGCTGGGGCGGGGGTGGACCCTTCAAAGTACCTCCCTGGGTTACTCTGGTATGATCCCACGCCGACAGAACTGCCGCCCAACGACGCGCTCGTTGACTGACTCCCACTCCTCGCCCTCGCACCTTCCCTCTCTCTTTCCCGCTCCCTCTCCCGCTCCATCCTCTCCTTCTCCTCCTTCCGTCTCATCCTCCGCTCATCGAAAATCTCCCTCGCCATATCCTGCAGCCCCTTCTTCACCCTTTCAGAATACGCAAAATCATTCGCCGTAAACCCTTCAAAATTCTGCGCTCCAAACTGACATCCCTTCTCCAACAGCACCCGCACACTCTCCAGGTGGCCCCAGGCTGCTGCGTAGTGTAAAGGCGAGTTTCCTTGGAGGTCGACCATATCGACATCGGCCCCTGCGAATTCGCATAGAAACTCGATAAAGGGCGAATTCCCCGACTGGGCGGCGACGTGTAACGCCGTCTTGCCGCCCGTATTCGACCAATTCAAGAGGAACGGAAAGAGGGTCAGGTAAGACTTGGTCATCTGGAGGGAGATGGTGGATTGCTCGGCGAGGGATAAGGGGGAGGTACGGGGTGGGAGGGAGGAGGCGAGGAGGAGGTGGGTGTGCGGGGAGAGGGAGAGGGAGGGGACGGAGGCGAGGAGGTGGAGGATGGTATTGTTGTCGGCATCCTACGAGTTTATCAGTCGTGGGTCCTTGTGAGATGTATGGGACGCACTCTCGAGAGTTCTTGGTCGTCATGGCCATAGTCCAAGAGTAACCATTCAAACACTTCCAAGCTGCCTTCAATGGCAGCCCAGCTCAAGCTGGTGAGACGGTTCTTGTCTGTATTCCGCAAGTCTGTCTTGTACTGCAGCCGGGCGAGGAGGGAGACGTTGTTGTCTGTAGCGTATCAGTACAGTCCAGAGGTATGGAGAGGGGACTGACCACGGACGGCCTGCCTGACTCTGATGGAGGGGTCTCTGACGACGGCGAGCTTGGGCGGGGGGCATTTGAAGGGGGAGGAAAGCGCGAGGGGTGTCGAGGGGGGCGCCTTCGAGGGGAACATGGCGGTGAGAGGAGAGAGTGATGAAGCCGGTTACGCAACAACAAACTAATTCCCGAACATCTCTTTCATTTGCATATAATTTATCGTACAAACGCCATGGCCTCAGCACCCCCAAGACCAAAGCCATGGGAGACGCAATCATCAGCTGGGGGAGCTACCACTGGCGCAACAGCCTCGGCGTTCGATAGCGCGCTGCAAGCATCCACCTCGTCTTCCAGTACCAACGCTCCCAGACTACCCGACAAACCAGCCGGACTCGGCGCTGCCGGTAGGTCCCCCCTTGACTATCGCAGTATAGCACTGACAAGAGATAGATACAGGAGCAGGTTCGTCGCTGCAGCCATATTCACAACAGAGATATACATCGGGATACGGTGGGATGTCTGGTATATCGCCGTATGGCGGTATGGGCGGCATGTCTTCTTACGGAGGGGGGTACGGAGGATATGGCGGAGGATATGGGGGGATGGGGATGAGCAGGCTGGGTGGTGGGTATGGAGGATATGGCGGGGGTTATGGGATGGGCGGTTATGGTGTCGGTGGGATGGGTGGGCCTGGCGAGGTAAGCCACCCATGACCACGGTGGCATTTGCAGCTGACAATTACATACAGGGCTACCCAACATTGACGTCGTCTCTCCAAGCAAGCACTGCCCCAGCATTCGCCGTCCTCGAATCGCTCGTCACAGCATTCACCTCCCTCGCCCAGCTTATCGAATCCACCTATATGGCCACCCACTCGTCATTCTTTGCCATGGTCGGCGTCGCAGACCAGCTCGGGTCTCTCAAGACGTACCTCGGACAGGTGCTTGGTGTATTCTCAGTACTGAGATTAGGCAGGCGGGTGCTCGCTTGGTTGAGGGGTAAAGGCAAGGGCGTGCGAGCAGATGGATGGGCGAACGAGTGGTCGCATGCCGTTCCCGGTTCTCCCCCAGGCATCCCAGCCCCAGGAGGCAGACCGTCCATCAAACCCCTCATTCTCTTCCTCCTCTCCTCAATCGGCTTGCCTTATCTAATGTCACGCCTCGTAAAGCTGCTCATCGCTCATCAGCAACAACAATTATCATCTGATCAGACTTTGGGTGTCTCGCCGGCGATAGGAGCGGATGGGCAGATTGACCCGACCAAGCTAGAGTTTGTGCGTGCGAAATGGGAGTTCAAGGCGTCGGAAGAGTGGGAGCTGGGACTGGGGAGGGATGAGATTGTGGCGATTCTGGAAAAGAGGGGGACGGCGAACGGGGCTCAGGGTGAAGGCTGGTGGAGAGGGAGAACAAGGGATGGGAGAGTGGGGTGGTTCCCGGGAAACTATGCAAGTGATCTCTATGCGTCGGGTGAATGAACTGACTCTCAACAGGTTGAGGTGATACGGAGAAGAGAAGCGCCGTCGCCACAGCAGTGACCCAATATTTCGTTGCGAATGTTGTACGATATAACGTCTTTAATGCATTGTACACTACAGGGCGATGTCGTACATAAGAGTCGTGCAATTATAAAATGGTTGATGCTTTACTTGACGACCCAACTGCCAACAAGATCCATCGCCTTTTCATCCCCTCTCGCAATCGTCTCTCCTTCTTTCCCACCAATGACATCCCCAACCATCTCCCACGGATCCTTTCCTCCACCCCACCTAAGCACCTTGTCCTTGAAAGCATCCCCACCTTCCCTACACAGTATCCCACCCGCATCTTCCGCCGACCCGCTTCTCCCCGGACGATCAAACAACGTAGTCCACACTTTACTGGCAATCGCCCGGTCAAAGAGGTATGAATAGTATGTCGCGCCGTACCCGTACAAATGACCGAACTGCGTTTGCCACGCTGTACCGGGTACGGGCGGGATCACGCCCACATCAGTTTGCAGCCCTTCCCAGATCTTGGTACTGTTCACCCCTTGACCGTACTGCACGCTGTGGTACTTTTGGTCCAGAAGCGCCATCAAGATTTGAGAGTGCGTTTCCAAAGCTTTGAGCGATTGGGATAGTTGGAGGTGGGCTTGGATGAGGGGGATGGGGAGGGGTTCGGAGGTGATGTGGTGGGTGGCAAAGGTGGAGAGGACGGCGGGGGAGGAGACGAAATGTTCCATTAGGATGGAGGGGAGCTCGACGAAATCAGTAGCGCAGCGAGTGCCAGAGACGTTGTGGAACTCGGTTTGGCCGAGCATCGCTATAAATATGTCAGTTGATGTACATATCGAGAGGATCAGACTTACAGTGGATGGCATGACCCATCTCGTGGAACAGAGTTTCCAGGTCGGTCCAGCCTAGCAAAGCTGGGTTCCCTTCAGCCACCTGTCCAAGATCTGCCACAAGAGCCACAATCGGCAGCTGATATCTCCCCTCTCTACCCTCCAGCTTGTCTCCATTGACCTCCATGCCGTTCCCTAGACTCGCGTCCCATCCAGGTGCCAATCCATCCCCAGCATAGTCGTCGTCGTCTACTCTTCTCGAGCAACGGACAGTATAATGAGCCGCGCCAGACGAAGGTTTTCCAGGCCGCGAAAAGAGATCACAGTAAATGACACCGACAGTCCTGCCGCCCTCGTCCACGACATTCAGCCTCCTCACTGATGGGTGCCATACCTCCCCGTGGGCGACGGGTACAGGTTTGAACGTGATCCCGTAGAGCTTGGATAGGATCTGCGAGAGACCGGACATGGCTGTTCCCGTTGAAAAGTAGGGGGTGATGGGGGGCAGGCCGCTGTCAGGCATGAGGGACGCAGTGTACTTTTCCCCGAAATGGTCCCTGTCCCAAGCATACAAAGGCGGCAGCGTCACTTTCGGCCCGTTCGCCGTCTCCATCGCTTTCAGCCTCTGCAACGCCGCAACATCCATCGCCGCCGACGGTTTGTGGTGTACAGCCAATGACGTCAAGAAGCCCAGCACATTCTGCGGCGTCTTGGCCATCTTGTCTGTCAGAGTCACATCGCCCCATGATTCCTTGCCCAACAAGTGCGCAAGCTCTGCTCTCTCGCAAAGCATGGTTTCCAGCACTTGTATCCTATCGGGTTCTGCGCGCATGGAGCCAATGTAGGCTAGACGCCGAGCTTCTTCATTGTCTACGTATCGGCTGACCATTTGTGCTTCCCACGATCCTGGTTCGAGCAAGACAGGTCCACCCCGCTTTTTCCGCGGTAAAGAGCTGATGAACCTGTCTGGTAATCCTTGAAGCAACCGTTCGGGCTCGGGGATCTCTATAAGAGGTTCGGGCGATGGTTCGGATGAGGCAGAAGTGAGGAAGGATCTGCCGAGGGAGAGAATGTTGTCAGAGTGATGGACGAAGCGCGCGCGAACGTCGGGTGGGAGTTGAATGCCGGACCGCTCAAAGTCAAATAGAAAGGTGTGGGCGACTTTGAGCTCGGCGGGGGTGAGGGGGTCGTTGGGGAATGGGTGGGAGACGGTTTGCAGGAGAGTCTGGGTTGCGTCAGCGAGAGCTTGGCATGCGCGACAATGCTCACTTTGTATAGATCGACATTTGTGTTGAGCTCATTCATAAAGCTGCACAGGACTTCATACGTTTGCTCCGTTTCCTGTACCCACTGCTCGTCGGGGTGTACATTTCTCACGAGCTCACACATGTCTATAACTCCACAGAGGACGTCACTCAAACGGTCAAGATTCTTGACCACCAGCCTCAGCTCTCTACCCGACGGGTCATTGGGAGCAGAGCATATCCGGTCTACCAGTGCGGCAGAATGGATCATTGTGCGCTCAGTCAACGGCCGAAGGGAGCGAGGTGATGAGAGAGGGGGCAAGTTGAAGAGGGTCGATGTCGACGTATCCTTCGAGAGCGATATTGGGATAGGGGTGTCAAAATGGGCTTTAAGAGCGATACTCTCAGGGCTAGAAGAGGTAGGGGTCGGAGCGTATGCAGGCTTGCCGTTGAGTTGGTTCGCTTGGACGTCCCGTAGTGATCGCGAGGTAGACAATGACCTAACGGCGCCATCTTTGACGGCGCTGAGATGGCCACGTGATGCCAGTCGGTCAGTCTGAGTGAGAGATAGTGGGCTTCTATTTGTCGCGGGAAAGTGCTGCAGAGCGCTTGGCCGTTGCGCTGCGGTGATGGAATACGAAGAGGCGAGGAAGGGGCGAGAAAGGCGACCGAGAGCGACTCTGGTGCGGCTCAATGAAGAGGCACGGAGCTCGTTGACTGTCGCTGACGAGTAGCGCGTCATTATTGCTGGCTGATTCGGAGGCGACAACGACCGGAGCTGTGGGATTCACAGCTTGAGGTATAGACCGAGATCTTTGGAAAGCGAAGAGTGGTTTTCGCCGGCCGCCGCATTATCCAGAGCGGAAGCAGATGCCTCCGCCCAGCCTCCACTTTCGGATGTCCATTCAGCGAGATCTGTTTACACCCTGTGCACTATAGTCATCCAGCCATGCCACGCCGGGTGTCCTACCAGCAGCACAGGGCCACTCTCGACTCTTTCAGGGATCCCTCGCGGAACAGATTCAGGCATGGAAGCGTGGCCGAGTGAGTCATCTGGCGTCGCGCCCAGCGGCCACATGCGAAACAACCAAACATCTGACCACCGTGCAGGAGCGAGACAGACTTGGAGTCGATATTCTCGAGTACCACATACCAGTCTCACGGCTCATCGCCTTACCCTCGACAGCTTTCGTTACATCCACCATTCGAAGCGACAAGCCGATCCAATTTCGACAATCTCGCACGAGAGTCATCCCCGTTCTCTTCGGGACGAGCGTACTCTTCCTCTCCCGGTCCAACATATCGCAACCCTAGACGAGCCTCTAATCTGGGACCACGACCAACTGTCGAATCCGATAGCAATCCTGGTGTGTCGGCGCTGGGCCTCGAGATCACGCCGGAAGATGTTCCGACAGAGTCTCATCTCCCAGTGGCTGCTGAGCAGAGTAACCACAAACGTGATAGAAGACGGGCAGTCGCAGCAGAACGGTCAACTCTCACTGGAGGAAATTTCGAATCGCCATTACGACTCTGGATACGATGGATGACTTGGCGGGGCTGGGCAGGATGGACGTTGTGTGTGGGCCAGGTGGGCGCAGTGGTAATCAATTTGATATCGGGGCAACTGTCCGGGAGGTTTGCCCAATTCAAGCCTGGAGATTGGGTTATGGAGGCTTTACGCGCGCTTGGTTGGTGCGCGGCAGTATGGTCATGGGCAACAGATGAAGGTCAGCGCGGCGGCCGGAGTCTGCGTAGTCAAGTGGGTCAACGTCAACATGCCCCAGAACTCTGCGACTGATGCCTCCTCTAGATCACCAGTATACTGACTATAATCCTGTCTCCTCTGATATTATCCGGCGACCATCTCCTCGCCCTGAGCTCGACAGTCGCTTCCTTGAGACTTCTTTCATCCGGCCACGATCTCTCCGCTGCCGCTATCACTCTATCAACCTGCATTTTATCCGTAAAGACCTGGCAGTACGCTTTATCAGTATGGGGATATCTCGTTGGAAAGTCCATCTGGATGGGAAGTCGTCAGTGAGTGGGTTCCTAGTCATTAGATATCCACTCACAATCAAGCAGACAGATGCGGTTATCCATCAACACCTTGCTTGTCGTCAGCCCGCTCTTGGCAGCGTGTACATGTTATGTCAGAAAGCGCATCAGCTACTCCATCGACATTCTCCTGGGTGGGCTGCTCAATGTGTCCGAACCGCTATCGTCTGAGTTCTTGATACCTCTCTTGGAAGTCTTGCCTCTCAAAGAGTGTATCGCCTATTCCGATGGGCAATACACATGGCACACTGTTCTGAGAACGATACAGGCGTATATCAGCCAGCACAAGGTGAGTGGGGACGCCTACTCTAGTACACGTCCTGACTTGTTCACAGCTGCTCCTCACAGGAAACCTCATCGGCGCCCTAGCCCCTCTAGCCGTCCTCCTCTATTCATCCTACTCCTTCCAGCCACCCCGCCAATCGAGCGCTCACAAATCATCACCCAGGCGGCCACCAATGTACAACCTCGTGCTTCAAACAATGTCTATAATATCCAGCTCTTCATCTGTATTCCTAGGTTCCCGGCGAGATGTGGTGTTGCCAGTCTTTCCCTTGCTACTTATGATGTCTCTCAGAGGAGGATCGGCGAGAGGGTCAGAAGGGCTCGGTGTAGGGGATGACGTATGGCTTGCTGGATCATGGGCTGTTTGTGTCGGGGCCGTCACGTGAGTGTTGTCTCGATGATACCACAATGCTGACGCGGGTGCCTGTAGTGCTGCCGAAGACTTGAGAAGCTTGCTGGTCAGCCTCGCTGCGGCTGTTTTGTGGTCAACACTGATCGGCGCGCCGAGACATCTCCTACTAGCTACATCTCTGGCAGGTTTCGTGGTGAGTCTTTCACAGACGACATGATTTGACATTGCGGACTGACGATGATGCTTGTAGCGATACGGCTCAATGATGGTACCATCGATTGCTTTAGCGTCCAACGTGGTCTTCACACTGGCTGGCGTCGCTGGGTGGGCGTGGGGCATGGAGAAGATGATCGAATCTGCTTGGGCGCTTGGTGGATTAAGCGGGAGACGTTCGACGACGAAAGGAAAGGACACGAGACCGAAATGATGGACGTTTGTTGAAACGGTTGTATAAGTATTCCCATCTGTTGTGGTATGTGGGAGTTTGAGCTCCCAATTCTCTTGTAACATTGTTATAGAAGTCTGTTGTTAACACATGACATATTCTACTTTTATGTCTAGGGTGCCCGTGGCTACAAAATGAATACGGGAACAATGATTAACGCAACCTGCCCGAAAAGGCTACAATTCGGAAGTAGTGAACCATATGCAGCAACCGAGGCGCAGAATCATGACGCTGACGGGGCCGGAGTCCGCAGCCAGGCCACATGATTGGTTTGATGTAACCGGCTTACCCTGACCGTCAGCATGGAAACGGGGAGGCTGTGAATCACGTCTCAGAAACGTTCAGCACAAGGTGACGAAGCTATGCTCCGTCCGCAAGCAACCGCATGGCACATTCAAAATTATTCATAGCCTCACTGTCGAACATTTGCGTACGTGTATCAGCTGTGCCAACTGAACATGACAGAGCCAAGCCTCCTTGGCCCAACAGCCCCGAAAACGGACATTTGATAGGAGCGAGGCAGTGTGGGATCGAAACACCACACCACAGCAACCGGCATTTGAATTCGCCGGGACGAATGGGAGGACGGATATTGACAGCTTTGGATAGATTGATAGAAGCGAGGCAGAGGGGAGAGGCAGCATGAGGTCGAAACACCGCGCCCCAACAACGGCAAGGCTGCGATTTTCATCTTGGAAACGTGTTTTGTGGTCATGATGGAGAACATCCGAGGCAATGAAGCTAAGCTCCGTCCTCGACCCTCATCAGAGGCTAGCCGACCAGCCTTTGGACCGACCCCTCGTACCACTCGACAACGATGCCGGTGACGTTGGCGCTAGCGAGGATTCCAAGGATGTCTGGCGTGGCATCGCGAACAGCTCTGGCGTTGGTGGTGTTGGGCTGCACGGCAATCCACACGACGACAGGACCAAACGTTTCGTCCTTGCCGTCTTCGAGGGTCGAGAAGCGAACCGCCTTAAGCGCGGAGTACTTGAGGCCGTGGGACTTCATCGATGTGATGATCAGGGGAGCGACGGTGTCCCAGGCGTTGTTAAGCGGCGTATTGAACACGCTGTGGACGGTCTTGGTGGGGACTTTAAAGAAGCGGTCTCCACGTTGGGGGGCGGGGAAGGGGTTGGTCTCGAGATCCGAACGCCACATGAGCTTGGGAGGGTTGCCGGAGATGCCATGGTACCAGAAGTTAGCCTCGTACGCCGAGATCAGGTCGGGCCTGACGACGGTGAAGGCGTCTGGACTCGTGCTGAGCTGTGAGAAGAGAGTATTCGCCTCGCCGCTGGTAGGGGAGGCGGGAGAGGTAGGAGAGCCAGGGGCGTCCTTTGGACCAGCCGGGGCCGAGTACCTGCGATTGAGGCAGTCTACCGTGAAGCAATTCACGACTGAAAACACAAAAGGATGTGAGCATGAAGCGCGCAAACAAGAGGACGGAGCGACTTACAGCCCAGGTAGGTGGGGTTGGCCCTCACGGTATCGACCATATCGCGGACGCCTGGAGCGACGTCTACAAGGTGGACGGACAATCATGAGTGAGAGATGGACGTGAGTAATGACGAAGCGGCTCACTTTGGCCGAGGAAAGCGAGGGACTCGAGCTCTTCCTCGCTCAGGTCGATGATCTCTGGGGGAAACGCTCAGCACTTGTAACGAAGAGGAACGACGGGCAGCACTCACTCTTGTTCCTATACGAATGATCCATAGTGGCGAGAAAAATAGTTGACGAGGTGGTAGTAGAAACTTAGAAAGTGAGTGATGGAAAGGGGCGAAAAGGGTGTCCCTTTTAAAGGCCTCGAGAGAGTACGGACGGATCCCTGTCACGTGGCTGTCGCCACTTGACCAAACACCCGAACCAAACACCCGAGCCTCCACCTCCCACGTCCGCGTCGACCCCACATATATTGTTTGTATCGAGATGTTACACGAACACCTCCCTAGGTTGATAAACCCCCCGTAATGACCTGTCGGGCGGGTCCGAAAAGGGGGTTTAATTGGGGTCTTTGGGCTTCCAATGGAACGGCCCCCCTTCCATAGGGATGCACCTCAATTTGCCCCCGCCCCCGCACCAAATCCGGTGTACCAAACGCGTCCACTGCATGCACTACTGGTTCACCCTCCCTCTCACACCACACCCTCACTATCACATACATACCCCTCTCAGCGGTCTTCCCACACACTTCCAGCCCATCACTACATCCTCAATCCCCTCCCAATGTCTTTTACTCAGCGTCTATCTAGGCCTCTGCCTGTCAGCGCACGCCTTGCTGACGACGACGATGGCATTGTCAAGGCAATGCGACCTGTCCGAGTGACGCAAAAGCAGCTGGACCGGGTCAATCTTTCTACAGACGCCTTGGTGAAGGAAGCGCAAGAGGCTAAAACAGTAAGTACGCCTGTCGCAAGAAGCAAAGGGATGGGATGGACGCCATGTTCATTCCCGTCGTATCATGTGCATTTGGTGCATCGAGAACGACGTCACCTACACCCGAGAGAGGTCAGAGTTCTGCGAAGCTAATGTGGTCCGAGCCGAGACGGCGCGGAACCTCTTCCAGCAGACTGCGGAGGTCGAAAAGAGGCCAAAAAGGCTCTTGCGAAGACAGCGGGCGAGAGGCGGGAGCATGATCGCCAATCAAAACTCCCATACTGACCAAAGAAAACGTAGACTCTGTGGTGGCACGCTCCAAGTCAAAGACGTGTAACGTCCAGTCCAACAGTGTTGAGCAATCGTCAGCTCGAGAGGACCTCGATAGCGACGAGGAAGAGGACGACGACGACGAGGATAGAGACACGAGATCAGAAGGACGCCAAGAGGGGACGGAGGATGGTGACGAGCAGGATGATGATGAGCAGGATGGGCAGGAGAGCAATCAGGGTCAGCTGGACAGGCTGGGGCGGGACGGCGAGGGGAATGATGGTGACGACGATGAGCCGCACTCCGTCCGTCGAGCGTATAAGGCCAGGCAAGATGATCGGAGGGAGAAAAACGGCTTGGACCCAAAGGAGATGAATTTCCCGGGATTTTCTCGAGTCCATCGACGCCCTTCCCAAGTAAGGGGATATCACGAGCGACGTCAACATCAGCGAGAAGCTTCAGCGCAAGAGCAGGCTCGAGGATGTCATTGCGTTCAAAGATCTCGTTCGGCGTAGGGGAAGCCTATCCAGTCGATCATCGGCTGCATATCAAAGCACCTCCGCTGACAAGCCTAATAGATGAATCAATTCGAGGACAAGCATCAAGTCTCCTGCTATGTCTTCATCGCCTCTGCCCACCGCCAGGACGAAAGGGTGCAGGAGATTGTTCGCTCGCAGGTGGCCGCCGCCTTTTTGCGAGCTCAGAAGAGCGTTCGACCTTTCCCTTTTTTGGGCGAGTTCGCGTCTATCCTTGAGGGCAATAAGATGGCTCGTGGGGATTGGGCTAGCGGGGCACCGCTGGAGACCATGCCGAGTAGTGAGTCTCTGCTTATGGGCGTTGGTGAGTTCTACACGCTTATCGTGTTCTTGTAATAGACTCAAACGTCGAGACGCGGCGGGTCCACATCCAAAAGACCTTGGCCAAGCAGTGCAGTGAGTGCATGTCCACCCTCATCTCTCCTAGCCATTGCGACATAATGGTCTGGTCATTGATAGATTACTACAGGCGAAGTCAGATCAGCGGTACACCGGATTCTCCACCCAATGTCTACGAAAGGGCCTTCCGAGCTCCATCAGCTGGACGTGTCTTGAAAAGCATGGGGTCGAGGTTGTCACGGGCTCTGTGGGAGTAGATCTTCTGCGCGGATTCGATAGCGGCGGCAAGAGAATCAAGGTGTCCAAGGAGCAATGCCGCGCGGTGTGGGACGAGATGGACAAGGGGCTCAACAAGCTCAAGATGAAGGATGCTGCAATTCGGGAGAACTAGAGCGAGACAGCCAACCAGAAACATATTCTTCCCACTCCTCTTGATCTACGCCTCGAGCATAGTCACAGCGGTCGCGTTCTCCCCATCTTTCTGCTTCTCGTTGAGAGCTTCGTCATTCACACTCTCCTTCTCTTTACCCTCTCCTCCGGTGATGTGTCTAGTCACCTCCCCAGGGATGACGTTGGGTGTAGAGTTGACCAGAACAAGGAATGGTGGGAAAGCGATAGCCAAGAGGCCTGCTGTAACGCAGCTATGACAAGGTCAGAACAAGGCGAGGCACAAGGGTAGGGAAGCTCACAAGCCGATGAGAGGACTGTCAGATGTTTTGCTGTTCATACCATAAGCGACGGCCTGACCGATAGCTTCAATACATCTGAAAGCGGCGCCATTTCGCACGTTGGCTGAGAAGGATGTCAGCAACAAGAGACTAACGATATCCCGCCTTCAGGCATACCTTGGGCACTTTCGGCGAAAGATGAAATGAGCCAGTACATGAAGCTCTGCCATCCACTGTCAGCGCCGAGCACAGAACGTTGAGTGCAGAACTCACCTGAGAGATGGGTCCCGTCGTCTGTACAAAGAAGTAGGGTAAGAAAGACTCGGCATACCGTCCATCATTCCAGTCGATCTCTCCCGGGTCATTTCGGTCGAATTTGACCTGCATGATGATGGACCAGATGTACACTGCCGCATTGGTGATGACGACGAGTGCGAGGCCGAGTTGAGCACGACGGCGTTGGCTCAGGCTTTGGATGTCCAAGATGAAACCGAGGATGAAACAGCCGACACTGAAGCCGAACGGTCAGTGTAGCTCTTCTGACGAAAGCGATAACGCACATGCAGAACAACGGGGAGATTAGGGACGACAGAGCGCGGGCTCGGACGGAAAAGTAGAGACCGAGGTATGTAGACCAGGAGCCTCTGGAGCTTCAGTCAGTATGGGTTCTCTGTGTCTGTAGTGGTCACTCACCCGTAGAAGAATGTCCAGAAGGCCCACAGACCCGAGAGGTAGACGATCTTGGATCGCCACGTCTTCTTGATGTAGCCAAACTCCTTCTTCGTGGATGACTTTGCTGCCATCGGGACCCGAGTGCCGTCCGATCTTACGACATGTTCCAGAGGCGTGATGAAGAAGGCAAATGGAAGCCTGGATGAACTGTAGTCAGCAAAGGAGCACTATGTACTCGACCACACTCACGCCAGGCACTCGATACACATGAAGACGATAAAAGTACTGGGAGAGACACCACCTTCGACCCCCGGCTCGTGGTTCTGCGCAAGACTGTGAGGAGTGCATTAGCCACAACCAAATAAAGGGTACAAACTGCCCACCTCACCGCGCCTCCTATCAGCTGGCCCAGGTTACGCGAAACGATCCACAGAGCGAGGTACTTTCCACGAGCGCCACTAGGCGCAATAGACATGACTGTCGCAGACTCTGCGACATACCAACAACCAGTCCCCAGTCCTTCCAGCAGCGAGCCCACAATAATAAACTGTGCCATTGGTCAGAAACAATCTACATACACATATGTTAGATCAAGCTACTCACCCACTGGTTCCCATATTTGCTGTTGGTATAATAGGACGCTCCTCGGAAGGGGAACGATATGGCGCCAATCACAAGTGCCCATTTTGTTCCCAGTTTGTTGACGATAGGACCTCCAAGGAAACAGACTACATCCGGATGTCAGGTCAAGAGGTTCACATATTTGGGTACTTACCCAGAGCCAAGACAGCGTAACTGACGGCATTCGCAATATTGTTGGTAGTCGGTGTAGCTAAACCACCTCCACCCAAGCCTGCGAGGATCAGCCACTCTTCCGACACACGCAGTCTTTACTCACCAGCAATCGCGTCGGCCATGGCTGGGCCCGCTGTAGCCTGGATAGATATGAGAATCATCTGAGTGAGACTGTGATTGCGGATCCGCTTCCAGAGGGGGACGGTCTTGCGATAGTGGTCCATGTCGACGTTCTCCTCGCCATAGGAGTCTTCAGGATCGAGGGGGAGAGCACCGATACCTAGAGTATCATTGTGGCAGCCAGTGAAGGCGTCTTGGAGGGGTTTGTGGGGTGACATGGTGGACAGTTAGTTGGTGGACAAGAAGAAGTGCCGATTGAAATGGCTATATATAATGGGTCTGCTATACTTGTTGCGGAAGGAGCGCTTGCGGTTGGAAAAGAGTAGGTGATTGGCCCGAACCATACTCAACTCAGCTGATACCGGAGCTGTACCGGAGTCCACCTATGATAACGAGGGGAATTGACCGGAGTTACCGATCCCTAATAACCGGACACCTGCTGATAGCTGATAAGCTGCTCGCTTAAACGAAAATGCGGGAACCAAATCATCGCAGGAACCAATTGAAGGCCGCGATCGCGAGGTCCAGATTTCGAAGGTGTCAAGTGATCGCTTCCGCCTACGGTCTGTATAGCTCTTCTGACAGGAGAGATCAGAAGAATGGAAAAGGGAAAAAAGAGCTCGTGCGGGCCGAGGTACAGTTCAGGTGATGTTATGCATACCCACGCAACAGGACCACGAAAAGAGAGATGTATCAAATACACTGCCAGTACCCAGAGGTGAAAGGAATGGTGCGAAGTAGAGGTGGTGACTTTGACCACGTTCGTAAAGCTCAAATTGAGCCTACGATGGTTGCAAGAGCAGGATCTTTCTTGTCCTCTATCCCGTCGTCCTCGTTCTTGGCATTTCGTGTTTCCTCTTCGAGAAGGATATCAGCAGGAATGCGGTCCGGGGTAGAATTGGCGAGGACAAGGAAAGTCGGAAGCGCAGCTACCATTAGGCCAGCGGTGACACAGCTTGGTAATGTTGTCAGTTTCAGCAACTTGCATAGCTCTCGTCACTTACAATCCGACTAGAGGGTTGCTGCCGACTTTGGTGTTCATACCATAAGCGACCGCTTGACCTATAGCTTCCATACACCGGAATGCCGCGCCATTCCGTACGTTGGCTGATGACATGAAGAGTCAGAACATACGCTTCAAAAGTCGTCTCGAGAGAATTCAATCACCTTGTGCATTATCGGCAAAGGATGACAGGACCCAGTACATGTAGCTCTGGGTAGGTAGATAAGCGAGGGTGCATATGATATCATATTGATGGGATCAACATACCTGCGAGAGCGGCCCCGTAGTCTGCACAAAGAAATACGGCAAGAACGCTGCCGCATACTGTTTGTCTGACCAGTCGATGGCCCCGGGATCATCACGGATGAACTTGACTTGCTCGATGATTGACCAAATGTACACGCCCGCGTTGGTAAGCACGACGAGAGCCAAGCCAAACTGAGCGCGACGTCGTTGGCTGTAATTTTTGAGGTCCAGAACGTAGCCAAGGCCAAAGCACCCAACACTGTTGTATGATATCAGCACTGACATGCCAAAGATGGATCAAAGCTCACATGCAGAAGAAGGGAGAGATGAGAGATGATAGGGCTCTGGCGCGAACCGAAAAGTAGAGCGACAGGTAAGTGGACCAAGAGCCGCTACAGTCAGAAAGCAGGTGAGCCACATTGCCCTCGAAAAGACGGACTAGACTTGCCTGTAGAAGAACGACCAGAACGCCCATGGCGCAGACAACAGGATGAGCTTGGAGAAAATAGTCTTCTTGATAGTAAAGAGTTCCTCCTTGGCCGATTTCTTCTCTTCTATCCTGATCCGAGTCCCATCCGAGCGAACAACTCTCTCCAGCGGGCTGATGAGCAATGCGAACGGCAGGGCGACCGATTCGATGGCGACAAAGACAAGGTAGGTGGATGGGGTGACGCCGCCACTCTTGTCGCTTGCATGATTCTTGGACAGACTGGGATATGATCAGCATGGGCATGGCCTGACAGAGAGTGAATCTCACTTGATAGCACCGCCGATGAGCTGTCCGAGGTTACGAGCGACGATCCAAAGAGCTAGGTATTTGCCGCGGGAGGCGCCTGGAGCGATAGACATGATCGTCCCGGCTTCTGCCACATACCAACATCCTGAGCCAATACCGCCAATGAACGCCGAAAGGATCAGATACTAAACACAATCAACTACTGGACGGGCGCAACCTAGTCTGGCGGTCATGGTAGAGGTAAGGCTTACCCACTGATTACCGAACTTGGAGTTGCAGTAATAGGCAGAACCACGGATCGGGAACGTAGCGGCGCCAATGACCAAAGCCCACTTTGTGCCAAGCGTGTTGACGATAGGTCCACCAAAGAAGCACACAGAAGCCAGCATCGAGTAGGAGATCGCCGTACTGATATGCAAGTCAGCGATGTATGAAGCATATGATTACCCAGCTTACGCGATGTTGCTAGTGGTTGGTGTAGCTAGACCTCCTCCTCCCAGGCCTATGATCGAGTGTCAGCACCATTACCCCTCCCCAAGCGTGGGAAACACCCACCACCTATCGCGTCTCCCATCGCCGGCCCACAGAAAGCAAGCGCGCTCATCATAAGCATCTGCGTCAAGCTGTGGTCTCTGATGCGTTTCCACTTTGGGACTTGCTGGCGATACTGGTCGATATCGAAGGCGTCATTATCTGCTCTGGTCTCTTGAGGATCAGGTAGGGTGGCGACGCGAACCGCCGTATCGCCCAGGGAGCCATCGATAGTGTAGGAAGGGGCGGCGGTCATGATGGCAAGGCTTCTGTGAAGACGGAGAGACCCTCCATCTAGTCTCTTATATAGTGTGCGGGCCGAGGCCCAGGGCCCCCCAGTGTTCACATCAGGGCTCGGGCGGTATCCAAAGACATTGGACGGTAAGCTTGACTCCCGTCGAGATAGATAAGGATCAGGCGGTATCGCTCGTGCGCCAGTATTAGAGCGAGTGACGTTCTCATATCACATTCTTATCACATCTTCAGTAGCACGTCGCTCGGCTGGAGTCCGCGCTTTCCTTGACGTGCTATACGAGAAGAGGTTGAGCCAAATAAATAGCGCCAATAGATGCCGCGTTGTCGGCCATCTCCATGTGGTCAAACTAATGTCCGGATGTCTATATATGTTGTGACATTATTGACCAATGTGTTGCGCACTGAGTAAGTCGTGCCCGGAGCCTGGGGCGTGTTGCTGTTATGAAGATCCGCCTTGACCGCTTGGTGGTCGGCACCGAGCAGTGGAAGTGTCGATGATGTGCTATGGTGTATGTCGGCGTAGCTGCGCCATGGCACAGACAAAGAACCCAGGGTCTCGCATCTCCACGGATGCCCGACATTGTACACCAGTATGCGTCTTCCTACTTGTGTCATCCGCTCTGCCGAAGGGGGCGCCATGGGGAGAAGGAGGCGCCAGGGGAGAAGGAAGAGAAGAAGAACCACAAAGTCGTCCGGAGAGAGGCCAGGGAAGAAGACAGGGGAAAATGCTCATATGCTGCAGCTTGACTCGGGAGGTAGTGAGCTATACTAGCCAGCGAAGAACACACCTGATCGCTTGCATATTGGCAAACGAGACTTGATGAACACTTTGAAGCGACACTGAAGCTCCATCCTCCGTCTTGCCTTCGTTCTGGTGACAACATTTGGTTCCGTCCCGTCGGCCATCGTTGCTGACTTATGAGTTCTTTCGTTCCATCACCGTTTCATTCTGCAAGATCACCTGTCAAACCAGCAAACGGGGAGGATATACGCCAGCAGTGAACGCAAGACCCAACCTGTGCGCGAACGCGACCCGCGTTGCTGCCCTCGACTAGCTCATTTCCACACTCGCCATGTCTTTTCTCATCTCCTCCCTCCTCGCCTCCTTCCTGCCCTCTCAAATCACCACCATCCTTCTCCCTCATCTCTCCTCCAACCTTCCAACAATATTCCCTCCAGCTCCAAAAGGCTCACCAACGTATGCGAGGAATTATAGAGTGGCTTTCACGGGGGTAATATGTGTATGGCAAGCGTATACTCTCGCAAAAGGCGGATTAGGGGGCGAAGGATGGTATGGACTGTTGGGAGTCACGAAGAGTGCAGATGAGGATGATTTGAAGAAAGCTTTCCGGCTGATGTACGTGCCTACAGATGTCACGCTGAAACACGCTGACCCGATTGTGACAGAGCAAGACAGCATCATCCAGATAGAGCTGGGCCTGGAAGCGACGACTTCTTCATCGCTGCGCGTAAAGCCTATGAGACACTGTCAGATCCGGTGAAGCGTTATGCGTATGATAGGTGACCTCAATGACTCGACGATACGAATCAGAGCTGATCATTGGTGAAGATTCGGTCCTCAGATAGTCGACTGGAAAGCAGCATCAGTCAGGGAATATATCTACACAGGACTGCAAGGCTCGTTGGGCTTCTACATTGTCTCTGTTATCATTATGTTTGCCCTAGCTAGTAAGCTATCTAATACTCTGTCTCTCTGATACTATCGTTGACTTTATCATAGTTGTTGGCAAAGCGCGCGCAGGATCATACGTGAGTCTCGCCTATCCTTACTACCCAAGCTGACCCTTCTGAAGTGGGTTCACACCCTTTTTGCCAGTCTACTAGCCATAGAGCTCTCCCTCATACTCTCCCCAGCCCTTTACGCCCCATCTGCTCTAGTCACGTTCTTCATTCCCAGACAACTACTGGCTATGCCGCAATATCTACAAATCGCCCTCTTGCACCGACTATTCACCGCGTTATCCATCACTATAACTCAGCTGGCTGGGATATGGGGCGGAGACAGTAGCCTGAGTAAAGCTAGGGAGAAGCAAGAGTGGCAATTGTTAAATGACATGTTGGTACGGATGAATGAACAGGGTACGTCTCGCCTTGTACTTCCTTTGATCGCTGCTGATGATCTTTGGAACAGCGCAAGAAGAGTTTCACGCAGATATTATCCCTCTTATATCGACCGGTAACCCTGACCAAATGAGCGAGCTCATTCAAGACTCGATGGAAAATGGTATGATTGCTTCCCTTCCGGTATATGTCTGTACTTACAGATGCTCAGTGCTCTACGACCGTATCCTCCAATCCCACCCCCAGATACGAGATACATATCGCGAAGCCCGTATACGAGCATACCAATCCCTACCAGGCCCTGCACGTACTCGCCAGCCGGCCAGCAGACCCTCACCGGCTCCTGCAAAGGTGCCGCCGCCACAACCCGTCAGGATCAGTTTAGAAGATCAGTTGAAGGTAGCGGTGGATGTGCCACTACCACCAAGTCCGCCGCCTACGCCAAAGATGAGGCCGAGAAGAAAGCTGAAGGAGTGAGAGCTCCCAGTATGTCATGCATTTTTCATGGGTTCACGCATCTGTCTCTTGTCCTGTTCATGTTGTGCTTTGTTGCATGGTAAGATATGGTCATCAAAAACGATGAAGTCCTTATATATTATTCAATATGTGGCCTGTCAGTATACCTGATAGTCATTTCAAGACATGAGTACGAACAACGGAACGACATATAGAGACGCCTGTCGAAATCAGTCGCGTCGTGTCGACGCTGCGGCCTGCGGCCTCCCTCCACCTCAGCTACGAGCGACATTCGCTTTCTGCAACCCTCTCTTCCTATCCTTATAACTACGCCGCAAGTATGCCAGCCCCGCCTCCCTCGCCCCTTCCACCAAACAGGAAATCGCTCACCCTCCTCCTCTCCTCCCTCCCCTTCTTCATCACTTTCACCCACATCTTCCTCTCGCCCTATACCAAAGTTGAAGAGAGCTTTACGCTGCATGCCGTCCACGATGTGCTTGCGTACGGCTTTGGCAAGGATGGCTTAAAGAATGCACGTCTCGAGTCATGCAGAAGGGAGTGTGAAGCTGACAGGGGACATTGGTGTAGTGGGATCATATCACGTTCCCGGGTGCTGTGCCAAGGTCGTTCCTCCCGCCTATACTGCTCGGCTTGATAACGTACCCTTTCTCTGCCCTCTTTGTGGCTCTCGGTGTAATCAAGACCAAGATCGGCGTCCAAATACTCAGTGAGCCTTGCTTCCACGCTCCCTTTTCCCAATTACTAGCTCACCTGAACTCGAAATCAGTCCGTCTCATCCTCGCCTCCTTCTTCTCACTCTCATTCAACCACCTCGCCGCAAGTCTGCAGATTGTATACGGTACTCCATCCCGTATATGGTTCACTCTTCTAAGCTTGGGAAGTTTCCACATTCCTTATTATGCGGGAAGGACGTTGCCCAACTTTACGGCTCTTCCTGGTGGTAAGAGACCGAAACTACACTACCGCAGGGAAGATATGGCTGACTTTCGACTCAGTGTTATGGAGCATCTCTCAGGTTATTCGCTCGGAATCTTCCCACACTGCGAAAGAAGGCCAAACGCAACTGCGCAACGCAATCATAACCCTCACAGCGCTCGCGACTATTGTCCGCCTTGAGCTCGCATTGTTTGTGCTACCCGTTGCTTTAAGCTTGGTAGTGCTCCAACGGGCAACTATCGGTCAAGTATTCCAATGGGGTCTCATAGGAGGCTTTGGTTCCCTGGGTGAGCCCATCATAGATTCAACGAGTATCGCTCATTTGCAAGCCAGCCGTCACATCTCCCATCGACTACACTCTCTGGCTCCCAGCCCTCTCCCACCCAGACTTCCCCTTCAACTCCCCATCCCAGCTACTCTGGCCCGAGCTTTCATCCCTAATCTACAACGCCCTCGAAGGCCACTCTGAAGAATGGGGCATCATGCCCTTCCACTACTACTTTACAAACTCTATCCCCAAACTGCTCGTCGGCAACTCTGCCTTGGTCGGGCTTGCCGGCGGGCTCTGGGCATTTGCCAGAGTAGGAGGTCAAAAGTTGGTTCGACAAGTGGGGTGCTGGGATCAGAGTCTTGCTGGACGAGATGTCGGGCGGATACTGACCGTCTGGGGCTTGAGTATCAGCAGTGTCCTCGTTGGCCTGAGCGCACTGGGCCATAAAGAATGGCGCTTCATCCTCCCCATCCTGCCCATCTTGCACATCATCTCCGCCTTATCGGCTTCCAACCTCTGGTCCCTCCCTCCGCCTTCTTCCTACCTCCGCCCCCTTGCTCGGCTCGCCGTCTTGGGCCTGCTGGCGGTCAATCTGCTGGCTACGGGTGTGATGACGTTTTTGAGTGTCAACAATTACCCTGGAGGAGATGTGTGGCAGGCTTTAGAGACGGCCGGTGTGGCGGAAGGGGAAAAGATATGGTTCCCTTCGTACCCCTTGCAAACGGGCGCGACGCTGTTCACGTTTACGCACGACCATGCTGCCGGGCAGGGACTTGGCTTTTGGCCTGCTTTGCCGGCGGCGGAAGAGCCGAGGTGGGTGTATGACAAGAGCGAAGGAGTGGATTTGAGTAGTTTGCAGTGGAAGGACGGGGTGGACTTTGTGGTGACAGGTGATTGGGCTGGATTGACAGAGGACGGCTGGGAGATGGTGGCTGAGGTGGGAGGGTTGGAGGGCGTTGGCAAAGCACCGGGTCAATACAAGGTAGAGGCGAGATGGGGCAGGAAGCTGGTCATCCTCAAGAGATACTAATGTAATTTGTAACCAGATGCAGCATTAAAAGACGTTTCATATATACAACCGCTACATAGCGTGTGCATACTCTACTACTGACACGCTCGCCCAAACACAAGAAGCTTCTTAAAGCTTCTGCATGGCAGCAATGTCGGTGGACTGGACGTAGTCCTCGAACTCCTGGATCTCCTCCTCGAGGTCCTGGAGAGAGATCTTGTCGTCCTCAATGACGAGGGTGATCTGGAGCATCTTGATACCTGTGTGAAAAAAAAAAGTCAGCGTGATCCTTTGCCTCGATAGAGACAAACTAACCGTAACCGACGGGGACAAGCTTGGAAGCACCCCAGACAAGACCGTCCTTCTCAATACCCCTGACAGCAGCCTCCATCTCGGCCATGTCGGTCTCGTCATCCCAAGGCTTGACCTGAAGAGTGACGACAGACTTGGCGACCGCAAGGGTCTTGCCGGCAGCGAGCTTCTCCTGGGTCTTGGCGTCCTTGGCGGCGGTGTACGCGGCGACACGCTCGGCCTTGATTCGCTCAGCCTCCTCATCGGCCTCCTCGTCGTCAGAGCCGAAAAGGTCGACCTCGTCGTCGTCGTCCTCGGCAGCGGCGGGGGCGGCGGCAGGGGCAGAGGAAGAAGAGGCACCGAGGGTGATGGGGGACTTGCCGGCGGGGAGGGAGGCAAAGTCGGCAGAGTGGGAAGCAATGTGCTTGTACCACCTCACGACGTGGGAGAAGGCGGGGGCCTCACCGAGAGCCTTGAAAAGCTCGACATCGGCGGTGGTGGGCTGGTTGCTATCTTGAATTGTCAGCCCGAGCGCTCATTTGTGGTGGTCCAGGACACAAAAAGGCAATAGGGGAAGGTGATAAAGGGTCAGTGGGTTTGGAATGGTTGTATCTTCAATGCGAAAGGCGCGGGGTCTTAAGCCGCTGAGCTCGGAAACACGGACCAAAACGGTAGATCATCATAGAAAAGAGAGGGAGAAAGGGAGAGCGGACATGGACTCACCCGTCGACGTAGGACCTGGAGGCGAGGTGCTGGTCGAGCTGCTTG